TATTAATTATTATATATCATTTAATAAAAATTTTCAATCTCAATCAAGATAATTACTGAGATTATAATATATAACAGGCTGTTACAACTAGATTTATTCTTATTAAAATATATCTTTTTCTGTTAATCTTTTATTTTTATTAATTATTAATCTTTATAATTAAGAATAATAATAATAAAGTTATTCTCCTATTTCAAGAAAAATATTTGTATTAAATCAATTTCTCAAATATAAACTTCATTATTATATAAAATCGAATGCTAATATTTTCATAATTAATAATAAAATAATTTTAAAATTTTTTGATTTTCAAAAAATGAGTTTTAATTTACAAAGCTAATAAAATAATTAATTATTACTAGGCATACTAATTAATGAGAACTTCTTTTAATCACAATACAATTTTAATTATGACAAAGTTAGAATAAAGAATTTTGCTCATGATAATTTAACATAATAAAAACTTTGATCCTGATAATAATATTAATCACTGAAAAACTTGACCATGTAAAACTTTAATTATGATGAAAATCTTGATCATGACTAAATTTGATCATGAAACTTTTAATTATAACGAAAGACTATGGCAGAAATCATGATAAAACTTGAACATAACAAAATATGAACACAACGAAACTTGATCATAATGAAACTTGAATTTGATCACATGAAACGTTAATTACATTTACATGTATAAGGATTATGATGAAAAGATCACATGTACATGTGATGATTTTTTGCTTAATTCCCTAACATTACCAAATTTGGGGGATGGCTAAAGCGGGGGTAACGCATGAAATCATCAAATTAATAACAATTTTTTTAGTTAAGTTATTGATATTTTAATATACGCATGTAAGTAAAATTTCATGCTGAACATTTTTACTTTTTGCTTGTTTTGAACTTTATATGTTACACATGATCTTGTAATTAGATTGGTTAACTTCGCCAATATTGAAATTTAATTGGATTGATTTCATGTGTTACCCCGCTTTAGACGACCCCCAAATTTGTAATACACGCACATGTAATCATGACTGAGTTCTATTTTATTGGCTGCAGGTATGCAATCTGCTAATCCTAATTTACTAGATTATGATTGGTCAGTTAAAAAAAATGCTTAAAAGAAAGTTCATATGATTAGTTTTATTATTTATTTTTTTTATGCTTATTACTCGTTATTACTGCTGTTTAATCAAAATAATATCTCGCCAAAATCAACCAAACAAAAATGACACCCGAATCACTTTTAAGTTTCCATTCAAATCGTATGTTGAAATTCTATGAAAACTCAAGTTATAATGATATTTCAATAATTGTTGGAGATTCTGCAAATTCCCAACTTACCTTCTCAGCTCATTCGGCAATTTTGGTGGCACAGTCAAAATATTTTGCAGTAGCGCTTTCGGATGCATGGGTAAAACGAGAACCGAATAAAATGATCGTCTTTAAGAAACCAAATATAACACCCCGCATTTTTGAAATCTTGTTAAGGTAATGGTAAGCATAAAATAATGATGAAATAAATAGTTGCAAAAGCTAACTAATATATTGTACATGTACATGTAGATATATGTACAGCGGAAAAATTGAATTGAACGATCATGGAGTGCCAACTTTGTTGGATTTATTAGTCGCCGCCGACGAATTAATTCTCGATGATTTAGTTGAATACATTCAATGCTATCTCGTGGAATATCGTTCCGAATCTATGAATCAAAATTTCGCCTTATTTAGTCAAATTGCATTTGAGCACACCTCTTTCACTAAATTACAGAAATTTTGCACTGATGTTGCATGTAAAAATCCTACTACTGTGTTTCAATCGAATGATTTCACCAAGCTCCAAGAAACTTTACTAGTTTCCTTGCTAAAACGAGATGATTTAGATCTTGACGAAATTTTAATTTGGGAAAAAGTGCTTGAATGGGGAATAGCTCAGGCTTCTACTGATGACGAGGAGATTAATTTGAAGATTCCAATAGAGCAATGGTCGCTAAAAGAATTTAATCAACTTCAATCAATTCTCACAAATTGCTTACCACTAATTCGATTCTTTCATATTGATTCTGTTGATTTCTACAACAAGGTAATGCCATACTCGGAACTGTTAACCAAGAAATTATATAAAGATTTATTACATCATTATTTGGTACCTGGAAGTGAAGACCACCAAGTAAAACTGCAGCCTGCTCGAAATAAATTTACTATCGATAGTACAATCCTTTCACAAGATCAACTCAAAAGAGTTAAAACGTGGATTAAAGGACAAGCTAAAGAAAATGAGACACTTGAACCGAATTTATTATTAAGAGGTAGCCGAGATGGTTTTACAGCTAGAGATTTCCACAGATTGTGTGATATGAAAGGGCCGACAATTGTTGCAGTTCGTATAAAAGATTCTGAAAAAATTATTGGTGGATATAATTCTTTTGAATGGAATTCATCTGGCAATGAATATCAAACCAACGCTGTGATCAAAAGTTTTCTTTTTCGATTCGATAATTCAAACGATTGTATTGGAGTTAAAAGCAACTATTCAAGCAATTCAGGAGATCGATATATAGGCTGTCATCCTTCGTGGGGTCCGTGTTTTGGAAGTGGAAGTGATTTAATATTATTTTCTCAGGGCTATTTTGGTCGCAGTTATTGCATGAAAAAGTCGTATGAACCTGGCATTTTGAGCTCTGATTCAACACGTAACTTTTTTGATATCCTGGATTTTGAAGTAATTCAAATAGCAAAAAAATAATTCTATTAATGTTCTTAGCCATATTTTATATTTAGTGTTGAGTCTTAGCAAGAAATTTTTCACAGAATTGATTGAATTATTTCTATACATCCAATAATGTAATATGATTTTATTATGCTAGATTATATATTTTAAATAATAGCAATAACAAACAATACTTTATCAAAATTAAATGAGTTTTATTTCATTTACATTCAACAAGCGGACAATTTATAATTTAGTCAAACACATGTAATCAGTTACGCTATATAATTAAGATCAATAATGTTTAAAGTAAATTCTTCGAGTAGAATACGTTGAGCTCTTTTTCAAGAAAAATTTTTATATAGCTTATAATTTAATAAAGTTTATATAGACTTAGGGAAAAATAATGTTTTATTCAAAATAGATCGTAAACAAATTTTGATTATGACCAAAACTTCAGTAAATAGAATATAGCCGTTCTAATATACTGAAAACTGAAGTCAGCAGACACTATAAAATGACAGCATTTCGGTTTGAAAATGCTCACATTCGAAAAAAACCCATGCAATTAAAAGAAACTCAAAAATGTAATCAACATACCAAACCGCAACAAATGAAAACTCGCGTAATCCTATCTAAAATTCCATAAGTATGCACTCTATAAAATAAAAAGTCTAAACAATAGTGGACAGATTATATACTGTATTCTATTCGATGAAATAATTTTGTGCCTCAGATAAAAGTGATTTCCGTCAACCAGCATGTTTTACTGTATTAAGATGTCGGACTAAAGAAAATAAGGCGTAACTCAAAGGTAGGAAAGCTTAGACTAAATGGCTTACAAAAGAGGTGTTCTCTAAGGGTTTCACGTGGTAGCTGTTGCGAAACTACAATGATCTAAACAAAAGTGCAAGGTAATCTTCATAATATAACGCTATGCAAACTCAAGGTTTGGTTTATCCAACATCAATAAAACGAAACACAAAACTAACTATGAGTACTATGAGTACTATGAGTGGAATTCTTCCAATGTCGATTTAACAAAAGAAATAAAAAGCACTTGTACGCAAGCTTTGAAGATAATCAATAATAATAATGTGTCCACTAGTAACGGAATTATTTCAAATAAGAAGTCTTAATTTATTTATTGATTAGAGCATCTCACTTAAAGGTCAATATCGATACCAACTCTATATCTATACTGTTATTATATTCTAAATAAACATGATGACATTATAGGTTTTCCATATTTGCGAAATTATACTTATTCTGCTTTGAATCAAGTTGATTTTTTAACTCAAAATATTTAAGTTCAAAAAATCCTGGCTTGACTCGAATAATTCAAAGAGCTTTTTAAGAACTTCTATAGATACTGTGCCGTATACACAATATTTAAATTAGTATATGATAAAATTTTTGCCGTCGTTCGGTTATAGTAATATATAAATTATGAATAAACTTGTTGAAACTTAAGAAATATAACATCCAAATAAATAAGATTAGTGTGAATTTAGACTAAATTTCAAGTCTCAAAATTTTCTTATATTATCAAAGAAAATATATCTAATTTGAAACATGTTTATGTCTCAGAATGTTATTGAAAACTTCTAAAAAGATATCTGAGTGGGTCAAAATTCCATTCATAATTTAATGTTGAAATTCATTAAAGTTCCCTGTACACATAAAAATGCAATTTTTACTAGTGAAATTAATGAATAATATATATATTATCAATATGATATAGGAATACAACAAGCCAAGTTAATATATTTGAGTAATATGAGAAAAATATCAAAAAATAAATGTTATAAATATTCAAACTTAGTACATATAGTAACTTAATCATTGACATTAAGCTTTTTTGTATTTCAACAATTAGCAGATTCAGAAATATTAGCATTTTTATATAGCTTAATATTTTTTGCAAAATTTCATTTAAGATAAGGGAAAAAATAGAAATGAGATAAGTTTTTGAAGTTTACTAATCTGATTTTAAGATGAATAGTTATCATTATGAATTTAGTTTCCAAAATAAACTTGACATGACATCAATAGAATTTAAAAAGTGCTAAGTATTATGCAATATTAAACCGTATACTATTAGAATTACATTATCAAGAGGAATTTAAATCTCATTCTGCTTTTGAATAAGAAGTTATGAAATTATATTAAAATAGCATGTTTCCACTTTTTCTACAAATAACCAATTAAAATAATCTTTCAGTCAAAAAGCAATAAAGTACGGCCGACTTAGAACAAAAGATGGTCATTATGTTGGATCAAAATGGATTCGTCGAATAAAGATTGTTCAAGAATTAATTCCACTGTTATGTATGTTTATTTATTTATTTTAAATTTTTAACACTTCAATAACTTTATTTTTATTTAGGTAAAAAAGTACACGTAGATATTTATGCAAACTATCCGAAACGATCATCCGTATTTAAGTTCAAGAATTATATGCCGGTATCATTTAGTTTAAGTCCAAAACAATGCTAACATACATTCAGTGGATCCCTATTGAGGAAGATGTTGGCGTAAAAACATTTAGCCTGTTAGGTGCACATGAATTTAGTGATGCATCAACCATCGATCATTATGTAGGCTTTACTTTATCGAGATTGATATATAGTAGATAAAAGAGGTGAATAAAACAAATTTGATTCGCAAAATTCACATCTTGTACTAATGTGCCACAATATTGTCTCCATTTTGGACAATCCTTGATGGAAACTTGATACATGTATCTTCCGAACGATTTTTTCATAGGGATTTAAAATGATTTATTTAGCGCACAGTTTGAGAATTAGTAAAAGGAATAACACATGGTATGTATTCCTGTTCAAATTATTAATAATACTTCGGACCTCATTAAATTTCTTGTAGCTAACAAAATTTACAGAAATACTTGTCGAAAATACCGGTAATAAGAAAAGATTATAAAACGTACTTTAGTACAATCCATAAATATTTTATAGATGTTATCAACCTTGTAAACTTAATGAATTATTTTTTGAATTTATGAGTCAGTAACATGAACAATAATTCTTTTTCTTAAAGCTTGGAGAATATACTTATAATATTTAATGCATCATTCTTCGTTCTATTTTCAAAAATAAAATTTTCCTTATCGTTATATGTATAAATTTTTTTGCGATCGTCAACTCTAGATTTTTTGAAATTTTGGTGAATTGGTGCAGCATTTTTTATACATTAAAAAAGAATAGAAGGAATTTTTATATCTGACATTGATGTTGAAATAATGCAACATTTCATGAATATCTATAACAGTCACATTTAGTCTGGTTTATACTCATTTTTTTTATTTTTTGGAATGTTTAAGATGATATGTAAAAGGTTTTTTTCGATTTAACTTTAGGAAAATCAACAAAGCATTTATAATTATCAAAACAATTGCGCAGTATTTTTACATAAAAAACGTAAGAACAAAAATGAAAAATAATAACTTATAGAAAAACATGTTATGAACAATTCAACAGTTTTTTTCTTTATTTAACAAGTAATATAAAAACAATATGATTAACCTTTAGAAGTTTGTTAAAAAATTGAAATGGATGCATATTCGATAATGATAAAAATTAAAATTTCATAAAACATGATATTTGCTTCTCAAAGTTTATTTATGTCAATAAAAAAGTAAAATTTAGTTTGATTATACTTGGTACATTTACCATTTAATTAAATCAGTTTTGAAGGCGCTAAACATTGTTTAAAGATTATTCTTTAACCGAATCAAAATAAATGCAACAATATCTATCGAAAAGAATTAGAATTACAATCGGTCTTTATGTACTTAGAAGTCCAGGCTACTTCTATTACAAGGTACATGGGGATCCAAATAAGGATAGCACTCGCTATTAAGTTGTGCTTTGAAAAATATCCTGAACATACAAAATTCCGAAAGTATACCATTCAAAATATATGGAAGGCCAAAATCACGATATCATTTATTCGGAATTTCGATTATTTGGATGTCTTTCATTTGTTGGGTATATAAATTATTGGAATTTTGTTTGTTGGATGCTGGTCAAGCCACATTACTACCAGACTCTTCTTTAGTGCAGTATCCTACCCTTTACAAAATATCATCTTACAATAGCCCCCTCTTCACATTGTACCTTGTTTGACAAAGAATCATCTGCAAAATGTATGATTTGGGAAATACATTTTTTGAAAAGACTGTAAAGTTAATTTACGCCTACATAGTCCTGATATCAAGCAAGAAGTTGAATACATAGCATATTCATCTATTTATAAGTACACTACCTGGACAAAAGTATCAGTCACCCTAACATTATTAATTACTCAAAAGTGTACATAATAATTAGGACTAAAATTTTTATATGTTATAGTCTAACTTGTTATGAAACATGCATATATTTTTTACACATTATTTATATTTATTTCTTCTGTAAGCAATATAATAAACTGAATCAGTTAATTTTAATCTTTACTTTGAAGATGTCTGATTTAACTGAAGCTGAACACAGCCAAATTATTGGGCTTTTTAAAAGTGGCACTACAAAAATGAGCATATCTAAGATGCTTCACTTTTCTAGAACAACAGTAATATGAACAATTCAAAATTTTCTTGAAAGAAAAAGTCTCACAATCCAATCATGCAATGACCACCCAAAACTTTTAAATTTTGAGCATAAGCAAGTATTAAAACAGGTTGTTAAGCAAAACAACAAAAAATCAGCTGAACAACTCAAAAAACTGTTTAATAAAAGAACCAGACTTAATGTTTCTACTAAAACTATTAGGAGAAATTTACATGATATTAATTTTTTTCTCACATTCCAACATCCAAGCCTTTACTTACTGATTGACAAAGAGAAAATCACCTAAACTGGTGTATTGAAAGAAAGGATTGGTCTATTTGAAAATGGAAGTCTGTTATTTGAAGTGATGAAATTCGCTTTATGATATTCAAGAATGATATTTCAGATCATATTTGGAGAACTCCTGGAACAAGATTTAATATAGAAAGTATAGCTTCTTCAGTTAAACATGGGAATGAAGGTTTGATGATGTGGGATTGTTTTTCTGGTAAAGACTTAGGCCCATTGGTAAAAGTGAAAGGAAAAATGAACAGATTTGATTATATTCAAATACTTGAAATCCATTTATTACCATTAATTAGTAGAGATTTTGGTAAAAAAAGGGTATTTGTTTCAAAATGTCAATGTCCCAATTCACACTGTGAAAGATGTTAATGAATGAATTGCAGAAAGGAAGATCAGAACTTTACCTAATTGGTCAAGCCAATTACCAGATTTGAACTCTATTGAACATTTATGGTCAGAACTGGAAAGATGCATTAGAAACCATTTGACTTTGCCTAAAAATGTAAGGGAACTTGAGACAGCATTACAGGAGGAATGGAGCAAAATTCCCAATAATGTTTTAATGAATTTAATTAAAAGTATGCCTAGAAGGGTCGAAGCATGTATTGCAAGCAAGGGCTGGCCAACAAAGTATTAATTTTATTTATAGATTCATAACAAGTTAGACTATAGCATATAAAAATTTTAGCCCCAAATATTCTGTACACTTTTGAGCAATTAATAAAGTTAGGGTGACTGATACTTTTGTCCAGGTAGTGTACAAGTAAAAGATACAAAATAGCAAAGAGTTGAGCAATAGGAATTTCGCAAACAAATAATTCTTTACCCAATTTCTAATCTTTTTGAAACAGCAACATCTTTATGCTTTTTTCACCACTCAACAATCACCGATAATACGATTATTTCATTGGATTAATTCCTATTTATATGATTACCATAATATTATGAATACTTCTGAGGATTTTTTCTTTTTACAATTCTTTACCTTCAGAGGATTTTTGAATATCGTAAACAAATTTATAAAGCTGAATGCGAAATTCAAACCATTTTTTGAATGGAAAACATTTTGAAAAATTTGGCAGTGTAAGATATTTAACAAAAAAGAATTTGCAACAATTTAGAAAGTTGGGATCTAAAACACGTAGCGATAGTTGTGTTGAAATCATTACATAAATTAAAACAAATTAGACATATAAACGAGGTAACAATAGCAATTTCTATAGCGTAGCAAGGGTCTTTTATTAACTTGTCGAAATTTATTTAATTATTTCTTTCTTTTAGTAATTCCATGATATTGTACTTTAAAGAGGTCTGACCTTTTTTTGAAAAGCTTATTTGTGTTAATAGCTTACGAAGAATTGACTTTTGAAAGAAAAATTAAGATATTTAATTTATTTTATTAATGTGAAGTGTAATAAATATATGAAATGGCGAAGGATAGTCAGTTAATTTTTCTATTCCCTTTAGTAAGATAGGATTTTCACTATGTGCATGTACCTATGTAAATGTAATGTTAAATACAGTCAATATCATAAGTAACAGACCCTCTAGAACTGACTATCTGTGTCTTTTATAGATCGATAAACTTATATACATAATCAGGAATTGGATGCTTGTCAATTATCTATATCGCAAATACAATGAAACGTCAATTTAGGATGCAATATCTTGTCTCTCGGTGACCAATTCGAGCGAAAATACTACCATTTTATTCATCTCGACTAGACAAATCGAATGGTAGTATATTCGGTCGAATAAATCGAAGTTCCAATTTTGTTCATTAAAAATGATCGGCTTTAATCAAATTATTATCATCTCGATCATACCACCAGATTTCAAGTGTTGGGCCACTAGAAGTTGAGATATTGTTACACCTATCCGGTCTATTGGATTTCAAAGAAGGACAGACTTAACAAATTTGTGGGTGGGATTACACAATTGACTAATAAATGTTAGACTATTTTTAAGGAATATGAGTTATTCTTCACAGAGTCACATGATGTATTATCGAATTGATGTTTCTTCATGGCTAGACTACTACAAAGGCAACAATGGCTTTCTTCCGGTAAAATAAAAAACCCGAAGTTGCGTACGTACTTTTTAGTAAATTTCATTTTTCTATGTGATAATAACTACAGTGGTGCTCAGACATATTGCATCATTGAAATAAAAGTTCAAAGAAGGCAATTTTTTAGTGATACAAGTACATTTATAATAAACACTTAAACGCCAGTGTATATCCTAATAAAAGTTTAAGTGAACTTTTCGTATTGGTATCATTTGTTGGTCTATAACCGGAATTTCACAATATAACGTACGATGATTTTCAAGGTGGAATATAACGATAATTCTAATATTTGTGCTATAAAAAGTTTTCCTAATCACCGTTCACCTTATATTTCATGAGCTCGTGTGAATTTATTAAAGGCAAATATTTAATGAAGATAAGGTAAATGGATATTTACATGATTACAAAACGATACTAATCAAAACTTCAAAGATGACAACTTGTAATAAAATTCGCGTGGTTTGTTGGGATCCGTAGTTTTAATAAACGAAAATTAATGAACATATGTACATGTATTTGGTAACATTGCGCAACAAATAATACAAGTAACAAAAAGGTAATTCTCTCTAATTACTTTGGCTTTTATTATAACTTATCTTGATTAAAGGTCCAAGAGCATCTATATTTATACATTTTATTTGGATACATGTCACGACTATAGTAATGAAATATTTTACTTTTTACAGCGATAAAATAAAAG